TTACCCCCTCTCTGGGTATTTACCCCCCTCTGTGGGTATTTACCCCCCTCCCTTGGTATCTACCCCGCTCCCCGGGTATTTACCTGCCTCCCAGGGTATTTACCCCCTCCGCGGGTATTTACCCCCCTCTCCGGGGGTTTCCCGGCACGCAGCGCTGTCCTGGCGGATCTCGGAGCTGGGCGAGATCCTGCGGCGGCACCACGGGCTGCAGGAGCTGGCGCCGGCCGCCCGCCCCGCGCAGGTGCCGCAGCCGCATCCCGCTTTTCCTGCCCTGCATCCCGCTTTTCCTGCCCCGCATCCCGCTTTTCCTGCCCCGCATCCCACCTTTCCGCCCCACATCCTGCTCTTTCCGCCCCACATCCCACCTTTCCCCACCCCACATCCCGCTTTTCCCCCCCCACATCCTGCTTTTCCCCTCCTTTCCCTTCCGCTCGTCTCTCATCCAACTTTTTCCCGCTTTTCCCATTTCCCCTCTCTCCTCTCCCAGTTCTTCCTTCCTCTTCCCCCACTTCCCCTTCCTTTTCCTTTTGTGCCCCTTTCTCATCCCGTTTTTCCTCTCCTTTTCCCTTCTTCCCCATCCCGGTTTTCCTCCTTTTCCTCCCAGCGCCTCTCCCCCATCCCGCTTTTCCTTCCTGCTCCATTTACCCCCCTCACCGCTCCCGCTTCCGCCTCTTCTCCCCCTCTCCCGCCGGCCATTCCCGAATGCCGGGCTTCGGGAACGCCGCCCGCTCCCACAGGAGCCGGTGGCCGTGCTGGGCCAGATCGGCTGCGACGGCAACGGGAAGCTCAACGCCAAATCCGTGATCCTGGAAGGCGACCGGGAGCACTCGGCGGGCGGCCACGTCCCGCTGGACCTCTCCGAGCTCCGGGAATACTCCCTCTTCCCGGGCCAGGTGCGGGAACGGCGGGAAGCGCGGCCGGAATTCCCGCCGCCGGCCGCTGCATCCGCCCGCATCCCAGGTCGTCATCGTGGAAGGGACCAACAGCACCGGGAAGTGCCTGGTGGCCTCCAGACTCTACGAGGTGCCGGCCGGCTCCGGGAGCCTTCCCGCCGGGATCCGACCCCGGAGCGGCTCCATGGCGCATTCCCGGCATTCCTTCCCACAGGGGGTGCCGCTTCCCTTCCCCGCTCCCGCGGAGCCGCCGCCAGGTGAGGAAGCGCGGCCGGGTCTTCTTTCCCGGCGTTCCGGCCCCGGGAATGCCGCCGCTTCCCGGCGCCTCCGCAGATCCGGAGCCGCGGACGGTGCTGGTGGCCTGCGGTCCCTACACCCCCTCCGACGGCATCGGATACGAGCCGCTCTCCGACCTCCTGGACGTCGTGGCCCGGGATAAGCCGGACGTCTGCATCCTGGTGAGGCCGCTTCCCGGGATCCCTGCGTCCCGGTGATTCCGCTTCTCGGGATCCCTGTATCCCGGTGAGGCCGCTTCCCAGGATCCCTGTATCCCAGTGAGGCCGCTTCCTGGAATCCCTGTATCCCGGTGAGGCCGCTTCCTGGGATCCCTGCATCCCGGTGAGGCTGGTTCCTGGGATCTCGCCCCCAAATCCCCCGGGAATTTCCCCCTCTCTGCCGCTCCATAGGGACCGGCCGCTGCCTTCGGATTTGGGGATCACGGGGTGAAACCGGAGCTTTTCCAGGCGGATTTATAGGGAAAAGTACCCAGTGGGATGCTCCCCATTTCCCCCGTTATCTGGTTCAATTTGTCCCTTGGGAATTCTTTTTTTCTGTGGATCGCTGCTTTTTCTTTGGGATTTTCCCCGTGGATCCTTGGGTGTCCATTGGGATTTTTTCCTGTGGATCCTTGGCTTTTCCTCGGGATTTTCCCTGTGGATCCCTGGGTTTTCCCTCGGGATTTTCCCCGTGGATCCCTGGGTTTTCCCTCGGGATTTTTTCCCGTGGATCCCTGGGTTTTCCCTCGGGATTTTCCCCGTGGATCCCTGGCTTTCCCTCACCGCCGTCGCCGCCTCTCCGCAGTTCGGGCCCTTCCTGGACGCCCAGCACGAGGAAGTGGAGGTAATGGCGGGAGAATCCCGCGGGATCGGCGCGACGGGGGGGCGGCTCCTCCCGCATCCCTGCGGATCTGCGGCTCCGGAGCGGCGCTCCCTCGGGACGGGGCTTCCCAGGGGCTGATCCGCAGCGTTCCCGCAGAACTGCCGCCTCCTCGGATCCTTTTCCGACATCTTCAAGCTCTGCCTCAAGACGATCATCGAGGGAACGCGAAGGTAGGGAGGGAAAAGCCCGGGATCCGGGATCGCCTCCCCCTTTCCCTTTGGGACAACGGCACTGGGATGCTCCACTTTTGGGGAACGGGGAGAGAAATCCCTCCAAATCCCTCCTGGAATCCAAACCAGTCGCCATCCAACTTCCCGGGAGTTTTCCAGAGCCTCCCACTCTGGAAMGGAGGCTGGGGCGCAGCGGGATCCGGCAGTGGGATCCCAGCGGGGGGGGGCGGCTCCCTCCGGATGCCGACAGGGAATTCTGTGCCGGCAGCGCCGGCTCCCGGCTGGTCCTGGTGCCGTCGCAGCGGGATGTCGCCCACGATCCCGTGTATCCGCAGCCGCCCTTCTCCTACGCCGAGCTGCCCAAGGAGGACAAGCCGGTAACGGCCTCATTCCCGGGGGCTGGAATTCCGGGAATTCCCGCGGGGGGCGGAACGACAGTCGGTGTTTTGTGGGGGGGAGCGGGTGTTTTTCCCCACGCGTGGTTGGGATCCGGCTGGAAAGGAGCGGCGGGTGGGAGGGGGGGTGTCCGTTGGGAACGCCGGCTCCCGGTATCCCGGTGCATCCGTCGCGCTCCCGCAGCGTGTCCACTTCGTCTCGGATCCCTGCACGCTGGAAATCCACGGCACCGTCTTCGGCCTCACCTCCACGGACCTGCTCTTCCACATGGGAGCCGAGGAGATCAGCAGGTGGGGCGGGAATGCCGCTCATCCCGCGGGATCTGGCGCCCGCCGCCTGTTCCCGCTTCCCGGCTTTCCGGCCGCTCTCTCGCAGCTCGCCGGGAGTCGCGGACCGGCTCACGCGGATCCTCCGGCACGTGCTCACGCAGAGGAGGTGAACCAGATTCCCAGCGGATGTGCCGCGCTCCGGGGAGGCTCCTTTGGGAATGTGACACCCCGCGGGAATTTGGGGGGGGGGCTTTTCCTGCCGTTTCGGGGCCCGTCGCATCCCAAAAATTCACCCTGGGATCACCAGCCGCATTCCCGCTGGGATCACCTCCCCGTTCCCGCCGGGATCACCTCCCCATTCCCACCGGGATCACCGGCCACATTCCCGCCAGGATCACCTCCCCATTCCCACCGGGATCACCTCCCCGTTCCCGCCGGGATCACCTCCCCGTTCCTGCCGGGATCACCCTCCTGTTCCCGCTGGGATCACCGGCCGCATTCCCGCCGGGATCACCCTCCTGTTCCTGCCGGGATCACCTCCCCATTCCCGCCAGGATCACCTCCCCATTCCCGCCGGGATCACCTCCCTGTTCCCGCCGGGATCACCTCCCCATTCCCGCCGGGATCACCTCCCCGTTCCCGCCGGGATCACCTCCCCATTCCCGCCGGGATCACCTCCCCATTCCCGCCGGGATCACCGGCCGCATTCCTGCCGGGATCACCCTCCCGTTCCCGGCAGCTACTACCCGCTGTTCCCGCCGGCCGAGGGGCTCAACGTGGACGTGGAGGCGCTGTGCGCCCGGGCGGCGCTTCCCGTCACTCCGCACGTCCTCGTGCTGCCCTCGGAGCTGCGCTTCTTCGTCAAGGTGAATGCCGGGAACGCCGCCGGGAACGCCGCCGGGAATGCCGCCGGGAACGCCACGGCCGCCTGTTGTGCCGCAGGAGGTGCTGGGCTGCGTGTGCGTCAACCCCGGCCGCCTGACGAAGGGCCGCGCGGGCGGCACCTTCGGCCGCCTGTTGCTGCGGCCGCCGGAGGCCGCCGCTCCGCGCCGGAATCCCTGCGTGTCCGCCCACGTGCTCCGGATCTGAGGATTCCCGCGACGGAATGCCGGCTGCGCTGCTCTTTTTTGGGGGGGTTGGCGCCTTTTTGGGTGTCTGGGGAGAAAATAAAGCGGAGGAGGAAGGTGCAGGAAGGGCATCCATGCGGCTGCCGTCCCGTGGGATCTGCCCGCATCCCGTGGGATCTGCCCTCGTCCCGTGGGATCTGCCTCAGTCCCATGGGATCTGCCCTCAATCCCGTGGGATCTGCCTCAGTCCCGTGGGATCTGCCCTCAATCCCATGGGATCTGCCTCACTCCCATGGGGTCTGCCCTCAATCCCGTGGGATCTTGCTAAATCCCTAAGGATTTCCCTCATCCCGTGGGATTGGCCCTCACTCCCGTGGGATCTCCCTCACTCCCGTGGGATCTTCCTCAATCCCGTGGGATCTCCCTCAGGCCTGTGGGATCCCCGGGAAGCAGTGGGAATTTCCTCGGGGGTTTATTGAGCTGCATCCCGGATCCGCTCTGCCGGGAATCCTCCCGCTGCAGCCGGACATTCGGGTCCCTTTGGGGACTCCGGGGGCCTCTCCGAGGAGCCGGGAAGCATGACAGCCGGCAGTGGGAAGGCCGGGAAGGAGCCGGAGCGGCGGCTCCGGGAGCGGCGTTCCGACGGGAGCCGGGGTGGAGCTTGGCCCGCAGCAGGGGCCGCCCGCTCCGGCCTCCGGCGAGGGAGGGGACGGAGCCCTGGATGCGGCTCCGCGCGGATCATCCGGAGCCGTGGGAGCGGCCGGGACGACGCGGGGCCGGTGAGTGGCCGGCGGGGCGGGGGGAGCCGCTTTTCCCTGGCTCCGGAGCGGGATCTTCCTGGCTCCCGGGACATCCCGGCGCCAAGGCCTCCGGAATGAGGCTCCCGGGCCTGCCAGCTCCGGCCTCTTCCCAGGAAACGCAGCTGGGTCCCGGGGGGCAGCGAGGGATCCGGAGCCGCGGATCCGGTCCTGGAATCCCGCCGTGCCGCTTGCTWCATCCCGCGGGCAGCTGCGTTCCCAGCGAATCCTTCGGGAAGCGGCTCCGAGCCCGGTCGGGCGCTCCGTGTTTTCCCCCGGCGAGGGGCGGAAGCGGGAGGCGCCGCTGCCCAATCCCGATCCTGGCAGCGGATTCCTCGGAATTGCCATCCCGCTCCGGGAAGCGGGGGCCCGGAAGCGACGGGTTTGCCGGCCGGGAGCACCGATTTCCACCCTCTCCCGGTTGCTCCTCCTCCATTATCCGTGTTTTCCCAAAACGGGGAAACGAGAGGCAGGGAAAACCAGGCCCGGAGAGCCCAGGCTGCTCCGGCTGGGAAAGGAGCCACCGGAAACGGCGCGGCAGCATCCTGCTCCTTTCCCAATCCTTCTGCTTCCATTCCCAAACATCCCAGCCTTCCGCACAGCCGGAATTGGTGCTTCCCAGAAGGACATGCGCAACCGCCTCGCGGCTGCAGAAATGAGGAATCTCATCCCAAGTTTTCCTAGTTTTCCTGGGTTACGGATGCGCTGGCACGAGTCTCCTCCCTTCCGGGGTGTTTTTAGGCAGGATTTTCACCCGGGTGATTTTATTTCCCTCCATTCCGTTTATGGGAGTCGTTGCGCCGGATGCTCCCGGGAACGCCCAGAGCGAAGCCAGATCCTCGGGGCTCCGGTTGCTCCCTAAATTACCAGGGATCTGCAGGGTGTTCCCATGGATTTCCATAGCCGCTGGCAGAGGAGAATTGGGAAAAGGCAGCGCAAAGCGGGAGGAAAATCGCCCGGGATGAAGCCGGGAAATCCAGGCTTTACATCCCAGGCCGCTGGGAAACGGYGGGAGTTTGATCCCGTTTATTTGAATGTTACGGATTTCTGAGGCGTGAGCATTCCCAAGGAACATTCCTAAGACATGGAGCAGCTGAATTTTGGAGCCGGCATGGAGCAGCAGCGGAATTTTGTAGGGGGAAAGAGCCAAATTCCCTCCCGGAATGACAAGGGTGGGATGGAGCCAYGGGAACGAGCTCCCCACCCAGGGCCAGATGGTCGGCGTCACCCATTCCCGACCTCGGGAATCCRCTGGTTCCTGCCATCAAGCAGCCGCATCCATGGGTTTTTTCCCCTCTTTTTTTCCTTCTTTCTCCCTGTGCTGACCGCTGGGAATCCCACTTTGCGGAATGTTCTCCCCAAACAAGCAGGTTTTCCTGCCTGTTAACTGTATCCCGGGCGTTTTATCCCTGTTTTTTAAGCCAGRCGCTGTCTGTCCCACACTCTGTATCCCAGCAATCCGTAGGATACGGCGCTGGGAAGCGGGGAGTTTTCTGGGAGCATCCCCAGCTCTTCCCCGCTACATCTGCCCAGGGGAAAGCTGGAAAAATTGGGATAAGGAATAAGGAGGCATCTCCTTGTCTCCCAGACACGGTGGGATTCGGGATCCCCTCGCAGGTGGTTCCAGTGCTCGGAAGAGCTTCCGGATTCCAGAATATCAGGAATGAGGCAGGCAGAGCGGGGAGCTCCGGCTCCCTAGATCCGATTGGATCCTGGTTTTTGGGATGTGGGGATGCTGGTTTTCCTTCCTGGCCAAGTCCTTAATCCCTTCCCTATCCCATTGGGAATCCATTGGGGATCCTGGAGTGACTCGATCCCAAGGCCTCCTGTGGGATGAGTTCCCAGGAGCATCTGGAATGAATCACTCCCTCGATCCGTTCTCTTATCCCTAACGCAGCCTGGAATTGCGGATAGAGAATGCCCAGAATTAACATCCCGGGATGCATCCGTGCCGAGGAGCTCCGTCCTCCGGGAATGCCGACATCCTCCGTTTGTCGGGACCACTCCTCCCGCTCCGAGCGCGGTTGCCAGTTGACATTCCCGTTTTCCCGTGTGTTTCGCAGACTCGGCGGCCGGCGCTGCGGGACGCGGGAGCCTCCGGAATGTCGGCCAAGGCGCTCCCGAAGCGGAGTGGGCGGAAGGGCCGGAAGGAAAAACCGCGGGATCCGCTCTCATCCGACATGATCAGCGCGCCGCTGGGCGACTTCCGCCACACCATCCACGTGGGCAGCGGYGGCGAGCGCGACTCCTTCGGAGACGTCTCCTTCCTGCAGGGAAAATTCCACCTGCTCCCRGCGGGAGCCGGGCCCGGAGCCTTCCCGCTTCCCGGCCGGGATGCGGAAAACACGTCGCCGCTCCTCAAAAACGCCGTCTCGCTGCCGGCGCTTCCCGCGGCGCCGCCGAAGCCACCGCGGCTGCTCCGGGATGAGGATCCCGGCGGCRGCGCGGCGGACGTGGGAACGCCGGGAACGCCGCGCGCCGGCTCCCTGCTCTCGCTCCATGTCGACCTGGGGCCCTCCATCCTCGAGGACGTGCTGCGCGTCATGGAAAAGCACCGGGACGAGCGCCGCGATGCCGGCCGGCAGGAAATCCGGACGTGACTCCCGGAAAACGCTCCGGAATGTAGGATTGCAGGCGGCTTTTCCCTCTTTCTCGGCAGCRTTGCGGTTGGTTTCCTTCCCCGGAGCACCTTTTCCAGCCGCTGTTTTCCCTCCGTTTTCCCGCACGGATTGGGGTGGAGTTTTCCCAGGAAGTGCTCTGGATGATCCGCTGTTGGAGCGGGCGAAGGCAGTGACGTGGTGGGAAAGGCGGCGGAAGCGCGCTGGGATGAGCGCGCCGTTCGGAACGGCACCGAACCGCAGGACGGGGCAGAACTGCGAGAAAAGAGGGGGGAAGAAATAAAAAAAGGGGGAAAAACGGGAGGAAAAGGGTGGAAAACTGCAAGAAAAGGGTGGAAAACTGCAAGAAAAGGGTGGAAAACTGGAGAAAAGGCTTGGAAAACTGGCCAAAAAAAGGGGAAATTGCGTGACCCAAGCGACTCGGTTCTCCAGAGAATCCCTTGGGTCTGTTTTGTGTAAATCCAGCCCTAGAGTTCGGCTTTGGGGATATATTTTAGTTTATCCACATTTAGGGAAAAAAGAAAAAAGGATTTTTTTCCCCCAAAATACGTCCGGAATCAGGTCTCGGCTTCACGGCTTCCCCATCCCTCTTTGGACGGCCCCCCTAAATGCTGTTTTTCCCCGGAAAAGGGGGGGAAAAAAAAGCGTTTGGATGCCGGGATTAACCGACGGAGGCGGCTGGAAGCATTCCCGGCCCTTTTCTGGCGGAACGAGGCTGGGGAGCTCTCGGGAATTCCGGAATTTCCTTTAAAAAGGAGGAAAAGAGGAACAYGCGCCACCCCCACCTCGCCCTGCGTCATTAACTAATGAGTCATTAGATTAACGAGCTGAGCTCGTTTACTCAGCCCATCTGCCGGGAGGCCCCACAGGGAAAAGGGCAAAGAACGGCAAAAACGGGAATGTGGGGGCTTAAATGGGCTTTTCCCCCCTGTTTTTGCCCGTTTTGGGGTGGGAARGGAGTCTGGTCCAGGCAGAAGCGAATCCGGACGGGAAAACGTGGAGAAGGATCCACTGATCCGGATGAGAGGCAGCGGCACCGCTCGGGTCGGGGCCTCCAGAAAAGGARGCCGGATCCGCCGGGAAAAGGATCACGATCCGGGAATGCTCCCGAACACCTGGGAAAGAGCGGAGAGGGGCCGGCGTTAGCACGGGGAGGGAGGGAAAAAGGCTGTTTTTGTGGGAAAAGCGGAAAACGAGAACTGGGAATCTTGCCAAATTCCACCCTTCCCCTCGTTTGGGGAGGGATTTGGGGGGAATTTTGAGGCAGAAGATGGTAACGGGCTCTGGGGGGGGGGGGGGGGGGTGCTGTGGATCCCCCCGGGCAGCAAAATCATCGGAAAAGCCGCATTCTGCCCCAGGAAACAACATTTAAGACTAAAATTTAAGGGTTTTTTTCAACTAACTTAAAAAGCCCAGGTTGGAAGGGAATTTGAGGGAAAACCAGGAGTAGAACGCTGCTGCTCTCACTTTTCCAAGCAGAGGAGCCAAGAAAGCGTCAGGAAGGGGGTGGCCGAGGGGAAAACCAGACCGGAGCCCTCAGCCCCAAGTTCCTTTTTACCCAAAATCATGGAAATTAGGCCCAAATCTCCCCCAGCTTCATCCCTTTGCTTTACCACGAGTTAGTTATATAACACTTACTTATTTTATATATTACGGTCACAGTTGTGCATCGCAYGACCTCTCCCGCCTCAGCATTCACCTTTTCCCCCCTCGCCTACGCTTTCCTCCCTCCTTGCTGCCATTCCCTCAGTGTTTTATGCCGACATCCCCTTTCTTCCTCATTTTTCCTCCGTGTTTTCCRTCACTCGTGCCTCTTTTCCCCTCATTTCCGCCCAGTTGGGCTCAGGTGCCTCCATTTTACCTCAGCTTTTCCCTCTCCCCTCCATCCTGCTCCCTCCTTCATCCCTCCACGTCATCCCCTCCTCTTCCTCGCGCTCCCCTCCCACCCCGTTTTCCCGCCTTTTCCTCTGCGCATGCGCCACAGCCCCGCCCTCCGCGCGGGAGGGGTGAAACACCCCAGCGCCTTGACGCATGCGCGGAACTCCCCCCCTCCCGCCGCCCTCTCCCGCGCATGCGCGCGCGCAGAGAGGTGGTGGGGGCAGGCGGCACCGCGCAGGCGCGCGCCAACGCGGCGGCGGCTCCCCCCCACCCCTCTCCCTCCCGCGCACGCGCCCTGCGGCCGCTCCCCCCGCCCCTCTCCCTCCCCGCGCATGCGCAGTGCGCGGCGGCGGCAAGATGGCGGCGGTGGTACAGAATGTAGTGAAGCTGTGAGTTCCCCCCCCCGTCCC